CTCAAATCTTCTGCTTCAACACACATTGAGTCCATAGGGACCAAGAACAAAGCAAAGTCTATTGCCATCCAGCACTGCTATAATAAGCACTTACTGCTGACTCTTTTCCTTTTCTGGTGGCAGTTGTTGAGGTATGAAAACTGCCAGAGGTAATTGGAAGTATGATGTACTGCTGAGCCTCACAGTGATCTAAGAGCAGCTGAGAACATCAGCATTGTAGTTTTATTGTCTGTCTCCTGGTGTCTATAAATCCCAGCTTTTACTACCTTTGTTTTCATCATGCCAATCAAAGGCTTGATTGCCCAAGGAATAAATTACCAGATAAATCACTATTTGGAAACATAGCTCTCTCTTTGCCAGAGCCTTATTTCTTGTGACATTGTATGCATATTCTACAGTACCACTATGCAAAGCATTGCAGAAATAGTCCAGATTTCTATGTGACGCCATAACACAGAAAAAAAGATAACATTACTTCTAGAAAGTGCAACACAACAGTGTAATATGCAGGTGGATAAAACAGTGTATTTGTAGAAAGGAGAGCTAACTAACATGGAGAAGGGAGAGGACAGTGTGCCTCACAACGAAGCCTGGCATGATGAGGAAGCACTTACCTGGCAGCAAAGGTTACAAATGTTAGTATCGTAACAGGCTTAGTGGAAGACATTATGGACTTGGTAGGATGTACATGTGCAGTACACTGTAAATGCAGTACAGGGAGGTTGAAGTCAAAACATAATTTCAAACAAATTAAATATCTAGCTCTAAATAACTGCAAGAACCTCAGAATCTTTTCATTCCCTCTGGGGGAACTAATTTTATCTACTGTGTAAAAGATGTCTCTAGCAATAGTTAAAACAGCCTTATTCAATAGTTGTTAAACCTTCCACAGGCCTACACCAGGGTTGTTTTAAAAACCATTAGGATAAATATGGAAAGCATTACCACAGGCAGTCCTGAAAGTATATAGTTTTTTAAAAAAGTCCATGAGACCAGGTGCTAGTGTACACGGCAGTGTTTAATGTACTTGCCGCACCTGGTACAGCTGACATGCAAGAAGGCTGCAAAATCTAGTGCAAGCCAGATTAATGCATCAAAGAGAAACTAAAGATCATTTTGCAAGTTTTCGGCCATCTGGGAATCAGGACACATGTGTCTGAGACCATCAAGTGTGACTGATCTCTGGCACTTCTTGAAATACTTTTTTTTTTGGATATCAAATTAATCCATCGACAAACTACTGTGCCTTTTACCTGATGTATAATCAATATTCAAATGTACCCTCTAGAGAACAGTCTTCACTTACTAGTCTGGGCATTTTCATGGCTGTGGGAGGCTTGAGGTTCAATCCCCCCCAGCTAAGATGGAGTTAACTCAAGCTCTTTCTGTCAGCTACTGTTTTAACAGCTATGACTTGATGTAAAAGGTGGCTCTACCCTTGCAATTTGGAAAGCACTCTAGGCTTTTTGTAAGCACTTGAGGCATGCTAAGATCATATCTAACAAATTGAGTTCCTCAGAGTACTTTGATGTAGGAATACTTAGCTTTTGAATTTTAAAATGAAGGCAGGTATTTAGGCATTTGGCCTCATCAATACAGATGCACTCCGGGCATGAAAAGAACCAGAACTTAAAGCTACCAAAGAAGGAGCAACCTGAGAGGTTCAAACACATGTTTTCATGTCCTGAGATTGTGCTCTGAGCGGCAGGTTAGTATGCATAGAACAGGAGATGTTAGATGTCTATGACATTTTAGATATGTAGACAGTTTGGAGTGGGTTTCTTGGATTGTTATATTAAATCTACTTGCCCCTAAATTGTACTGCTGGTACCTAAAGAGTGCCTTGGATTTTATCCTTAAAAATTGACCTACACTTTGATGTCTGAAACACAAACAGTGCATTGGTTTCCAATCTAACTTTTTTATGTCACCTAGTTTATAAGGGAGGTCTTTTAGTTTGGAGGGTTTTTTTTAAAGGGAAAATTACGTAATTCTAGGGTTCACAGTACTTTGTTTTCATGTTGTGATGGAGCTGAGTGCCACATTCTCAGATAGTAATTATAGAGTACATGAAGATTTGAAATAATCAGAAGCATGTCCACAAGTAAAGGTTAGGATTTATGATTTATGCCTGTGTGTCCTCGTTCACTGTGGTTCTGAAGGCACCCAGTGAAAGACATGTAGGAAGATTTATTAGAAAATTCTGTTTTCCCAGACCAAAACCAAAAGGGAATTCTAAAGGAAATTATAGGAAAGACTTGGGTGTGAAACAGTGGAAAAAAGTAGGGCACCATTTTTAGTTTTTTCCTGGAATCATTAGGAGATAATGTCAATTACATAAAAAAGAATGGAGTTTAAACTGCAAACTTTGACAGTCCTAAGAGTTTTGGCAAACAAAGCTGTTGAGTGCCTGGAGTTGTTTGATGAAAGCAGAACTGCAAATCAATTGCAATAAAGGTATATTTTTACATTTAAACTTTGGCTTTTTGCTGGGAGCAGCTTAATGTTTTTTCCTAAAAGCACCACAAGCCCAGTACACTCGCATGTTAGTTTTGCATGACGGAGCAGAGATACCATGTGGAAAAAAGTATATGCTGTAAAACTGATTTCCTACTGAAATGATCCATGTACCACCACTATAAAAATACTGCAAGATTTCTCATTTGCTGAAGCGACAATTTCAAAAGCTCTTGTATTCTCCCCATCAAAAAAGCCTTGGCGTAAAGCCTGTTGAGAATAAATTCCCCCGGAATTGACTTGAGGGGTTTGATTCTCAGTCAATGTATACATTAGCACAGTTCCCACAGCCTTCAGTCAAAGCCATGCTGATGTGTAGTAGGTAGCAATGGTTTCTCAGGTCCCAGTTCTGAAAGGATTCTTGCTACGTGCCAGCGAGCATTTACAGCCTCACAGGTAGTGCTCTTGCAGCATCGGGCCTTTTGGAAGACGCTCTCGAGAGAGTGGTCCTGTTTGCTTCTTCAGAAATCAGATTCTAGGAGAAGCTTGCTTTTTTTCATCTTTTACTTTCCATTTCTTCACTCTTCATTTCATACCATTACACACTTTGACCAGTGCTGGTTTAGGCTGAATAATCCCCTGAGCTTCTGTTTCATCTTTCAATGAAATACGGTGCTGTTTGACTACATTTCATAAAACATGTCATTTGATTCAACATCTTAATGCATTACCTCATACTCATCCCATTCTCACTATATCTTTGGGTTTCTCTACACTTAGAAGCACATTCAAATCAAGGCATGGAGTGAATTTAAAAAGCAACAGCTCTTCCCAGTCACTCCACGTGTATCTGAGCAATCCAGGACAACTATGGGAAAAGGAGACACTGCATTCCCCACTCCTGGAAAAAAGCTTGATGGCATTTGAGCTTCTACCTCTTCCATCTTTCAAGCTACATGGGAAAGAGACCTGAACTCTGTTGTAATCTTTATGTGGAAGAGGTCTAAAAAGGATGCACTGTGGTCTTGTGTCCTATGACAGTTCTCCTGTTCCATCTTTCCCCTCTCTCTCAGTCTGAAAGAAGACCGTGGCTTATTTCAGCTAACAAATTCCCTGCTGAGACACAGGCAATGCCCTTGAACTCTCCTGCCTGCTTCCTCACACTGTAGTTTTTTATCTCTTACACTAAAGGCTGTGCTCATTGCAGAGGAGCAGGAGGGTTTGCCTCTCCTGGAATCAGTGTTTCATGGGTCCGGCCAGATGAACCTCTGATACGTGCTAGTTGGTGGCTGTGGGAGATGGGATTTAATGACCTGGATCATCTTGCTCAATCCGCCATTTCTATTCGCTATGAGTGAACACGCAAAAGAAGCAATTCAGCTTTTGCTTTTCTCTTTGAGGCTTTTAGTAGCTATAAAATTAGATGGTAAGAGGTTTACGTGGATTTATGCTTTACTTTATACAAAGTAATCTGATTTGGAAAAGTGTTAAAAGCAATATTACATTGTCTGAGCATGTTTCAAAGAATTCTCAAACCAAGATTCTGATGGCAGAGACGTTTGTGAATATTTAGTATAAACCTCACATTCAGATTCCTCTAATTCATAGTTTTCTTCTATTTTTGCTTCTTATTCAGCCAAACAAACTCAGTATTTTCCAATATCACTTTTCAACTATGGAAGAGATATATTCCTAAGTAGCTTTGGATCTGCAGAACATTAACTGGTGCTCCTCTGTTTCAGTGGCTCTAATGCAAACTTCAGACAAATAAGGTGTAAAATATACTGAACAGTACCTAGTGTTGCCCAGCTATTTAGAGATAATGTAAACAGGGAGTAGGTTTGTTTTAGAACAAGTAGCAATGAAGTATGCAATGATTTCCCAGGACAATTTCCAGTCTCTTAAAAATGTTTCTGTTATTCACTTCTCCACTTAAACGGGAAGGAGCCTGATTCCTTTGTGCTTTTATTTAAAATATACAGGTTAGATCTTTGGATAAATCACTACCCTAGCTTTTGTTCACTGCACACATAATTTTTTAAGAGACAGTACACTTTTTGATAGCTGTAGTTAAGCTGTTATACAACATAACACATCTAACTGCTTGCATTAAAATAAGACTTCTTCATCATAACTACGTTCATTTTACTTAATGACAACTTTTGCACTCAGTTCTAATTACAGAATCCTAAAAGACATGCTCGTATTTTTTCCAACTACAACATAGAGTGAGAAAAACATTTCAACCTATCTGAAAATATTTCCTTAAAGGACCAAATTAAATAATTATGTAAAAAATGTGATTATGAATGGTTTAGCACAGTAAAATAAAAGCGAGTATGTTTTTGCACAATTTGGAAAATACTGAGTAATAAAAATAGTCTAATATGAAAAAATGTGTCTTATGAGATGGCATTAAAAAGTTCAGAGAAGAGACTGGCAGGAACTAGCTCTCAGTGCACTGAAGCCAACGGATGCTGCGCCATTGACCACATCGAGCCTATTACCTTACCTCAAAAGGGGAAAATCCTTTGAGTCCTTACCTGTACACTAGTAAGAGTGGTGTATTGATAAGCTTTGACTACCAGGTAATTGGCTTCTATATCTATTATTCCCAGGATCATGTACTTCCACCATCTCCTTTTCAAAATTGCCAGCAAGTTTTCTTCTCCTGTGGTAATAAACAAGAAGAAGAATTATGTAAAAGAGTTAGGTTTACATGCACAAAATACATGCCTGTCAAGAGAAATTATCTAAAAGATCTCTTGTATTTATAATATGCAGTTGAAAAGCACCATATATAACTAGGTACTGCAAGGAGGTGAAAACGAACACAACTTATTTGTCTTGCAGATATTAAAACAGCCAGCTTGGAGAAGTAATATGTGAGGGTCAGATTGTCACATCACTTCGGATGTAAACAATGCCAGGAAAAAACAGGTGCAGCTTGGGCAGACTGTAAATGTGTTCTTAGTTTTACTTTTATACACATGCATACATATATATGCACATATAAAACACTTAAGATTTGTCTTGCAGATATTAAAACAGCCAGCTTGGAGAAGTAATATGTGAGGGTCAGATTGTCACATCACTTCGGATGTAAACAATGCCAGGAAAAAACAGGTGCAGCTTGGGCAGACTGTAAATGTGTTCTTAGTTTTACTTATATGCATAAGTAAAACTAAGAACATATATATATATGCACATATAAACCACTTAAGAATAGAGCAGTTTATTAGATACATTTATACTTTCCATAGATACTGAGAAATGTTATATCACACATGATACAAAAGGGTTTTCCCAGAAGTGGGAGATCACCAGTATCTGCAAATATGATGGAATATTAGAGCAGTAGAGAAACAGGATCATATTTGGGCAGATTACAGATCCTGCTGCAAGGATGGTTATGATGATCCTAGAGGTTCAAAATATCAGACTTGTTTAGAGAAAGGTTGCACTGAAACAGAGTTTGCATGACAGGTTGCTCTGCTCCCAGGATCGATTTCTGAAGTAGGCCGGTTCACTGCCTTCTATGGGAGCCCTGTCAATCACCCAGTGCTTAATTTCCACCACGTAAAGACTGACAGTACAATACAGCCTGCAGATCAAACCCACAACTTTCAAAAGGTCAAAGCATTCCTTATGCTAGGCTAGGGATTATTATTGTTCTCTGTTCAAAAGAAACCAGCTCATTAGTGAGGGCAGGCAAACCTGTTACTTATTTGCATTACAGTAAGCTCCAGACATGATGGGTCCCCACTGTGACAGGGGCCGGACATACCAACTGTGACAACACGGTATGTACGACTGGAGGTCTTTAAGAGTCTGTAGCCTAAATAGGGATCTAAGCAGATGTGCTGGTTTTGCCTGGGATAGAGTTAATTTTCTTCATAGTAGCTAGACGGGGCTATGTTTTTGATTTGTGCTGAAAACAGCGCTGATATTGATAACACAGGGATGTTTTCGTTACTGCTGAGCAGTGCTTACACAGAGCCAAGGCCTTTGCTGCTTCTCACACCACCCCACCAGCGAGGGGGCTGGGGGTGCACAAGGAGTTGGGAGGGGATGCAGCTGGGACAGCTGACTCCAACTGACCAAAGGGATATTCCATACCATATGATGACATGCTGAGCATAGAAAGCTGGGGGACATTCAGAGCGATGGCTTTTGTCTTCCCAAGTAACCAATGGAGCCCTGCTTTCCTGGAGATGGCTGAACACCTGCCTGCCCATGGGAAGCGGTGAATGAATTCCTTGTTTTCCTTTGCTTGTGTGCTCGGCTTTTGCTTAACCTATTAAACTGTCTGTATCTCAACCCATGAGTTTTCTCACTTTTACCCTTCCGATTCTCTCCCCCATCCCACCAGGGGCAAGTAAGCGAGGGGCTGCATGGGGCTTAGTTGCCAGCTGGGGTTAAACCACGACAGTAGGGTTGACCTGTATTGCCAAAGTACTATAAATGGAATTTGAACTGTCTTGAAAGTTAAAAAAAACCCAACACCCACTATTCTGAGATTTGTTCGTGTTGCTGCAGCCTTTCTAAGTGCTTGTATCACCAAAATGAGTGGTCGAAAAAACAGAAGAAAAGGAACATTATTGTCAATTGGCACCAAAACTCGCTCAGGCTTCCCAATTGTTCCTCGTCATTTTCCATCATCACAAGCGTGTTCGCTCTCCAGTTCAAATAGACCCAGTGATATATGTGCTGCCATACCATCAGAAATGGCAGGCTCTCTATAACACAGGACTATCTTAGATCTTGTAAGACGCAATCACAGAAAAACGGATAATTAGTTCAGAAGTTGATTCAAGATCTTAGACGTTAAATCTTGGCCCCACTGAGTGACCGGAATGGGTATTTGCCTGAACCAAGCATCTGAATTATTTGACATTTGCTCATTAACAGATGCTCACACATACACATTCCAGTGGGATATTATTAGGCAACAACTTAATTATTTGTTACAGAGATGACACTGAATGCAAAACTGTAAATGCTAAAAAGCTTTCCTTCCTTCCTTCTCTTCTCTTTCTCTCTCAGTAAGCAGCAGAGAAATAGCAGAAACAAGGTGGTGAGTGGGCTAATTATTTAAAACCCCAAATAAGAATGAGTCAGTACATTCAACTGTACCACACTTTCCTCTTACCACTGACTCACAGGAGAACTCACTAAAGAGAAATTCCCACCCTTTGTTTATACTGGGGTACAGGAACAATGCACTGCAGACACAAATTATTACTTCATTTATGTATTTTTATAATGATTTGAGCATGAAGAAAGAGGACTATTGTAGATTTTATTTTTTAATACATTTAGGGAGATTTTTTTCAAAAAAGCCTTTTAGATTAGATGTCCTAATTCCTACTAAAATCAGTGTAAAACGCACAGATAGATCCTTTCCAGGTACTCAAACTATATCTAATTCTTGTGCTGCCCAGATAATACCTTTAAAACACCAGCTAAAACACATCTATGCAATGGAAAGTCATGGTTTAAAACTTCAGAGCAATTTTTCCTCTTAATTGTAAAGAGAAAGCTTAAAAATCAAAGACATCAAACTATTAGACAGTATAAACCTCTCAGAGTCACTGCAGTCTGTATTCCAACACCCACCTAAATCTGTTTTTGTGACAGTAAGACCTTGGTAGTATCTACAAAGCAGAAAGAAGCAGGTTCAAGAGTTGGTACTGGCATTAGGCTGCCTGAGCAAGGACTACGGACAAATTTCAAGGAATACTTTGGTACCTTTGGTTTGCCAGTGCTTGCGTTCTCCAGCTTCGACTTCCAACCACAGATTACTGTACTGTTCATATGTAGCCAAATAAGTTAGCTTTAAAAAGGAATGTATGGTCATGACTTCTGGCTAACAGGTAAAGTTAGAGTTTCCAGAGATGGAAACTAAATCTGTAATTTTAATTGACACACACAGTTATCTCTTTTGCTTTCTCAATCTTTTCTGGGCTAATGACAGAAATAAGAAAAATATTTGGCAAGTGGTATTTTATCTTTGATATACAGGTCTGAGATAATCCAAACTCCAAAAGATCAGGTTCAGCTAAGAAGGCTCTGCAGAGCAAAAAGCAATGCCAAAATGAATTTATGCAGGCACTGTGCAGCTCTTATGAACATTGGTTTAGCTTCGCAGCAAATGTCTTCGTCTTGCCCAGTGGAAAGCAGAGAGATGTACAGGTGTTCAGCATGACAGAAATAAAATAGAGAATTTGTTCCTGGGAAAAAAATCTTGTACTGTAGTTGCATCTCTGTGGAACACACTTAGTCTTTGCTTCTACTCACTTGCTGCAACTCCTGTTACTTAGTGTGTAAGAAAGGTTTGGCTTCTGACCTGCATCCCTCTGCCCACATTATTGTTATCATTTATCATCAAGATATCAGTTGTGCAGATCTACAAGCATTAGCAAAACTGACAGACCCCATTTGAGGGTATATCTGAGCAAAAAACAATGCATGTTTAACATTGTTACTCCAGGGACTGCTATTTGTTTACTGCTCCCTATTCTTTGCCATTGTCATCACAACTCGTAGAAGGGAATGAATTGCTCACGAAGTGGGAGATTTTCTGCAGAGAAGGGCAGGAGAAAGAAGATGATCATCTGCGGTGTCAGTCCAATGCTACGGACAAATGAAGGAAGAGGCAGGTGGAGTCCTGGTTTTGAGATGGGACTGAAATAAAGCCACCATATTCAAATATCACACTTTGGCAAGCGTGACCCAGGAGAAGGCAACAGTGGAAGACAGCCTGGAGAAGGTGTGGGCTGCCAGCAGGCACGTACCTCTGAACAGCAATCACAGATGGCATCCTCAGAGAATTCAGAGACAACAAGGAGAAGTGAAATGGGAGTTAGGGAGATAAGTGGGAAGCAGGGGGAATCAAGACCTTCTTTCAGAAGTCTACATCCTGAATAGTAATAAGCATCACCTTTGCATAAAAACAGAGTGTGGGGAGGGAAAATATCACACAATTAAAAACAAAACAACAAGAGACAGTCTGCTTTTTTTTTTTCGTTTTATTTATTATTTCCCCTGATGACAACTCAAAGCAAACTAATTATTCAGGTCTTTTGAGTTGTAAGCATTGTAGGCCAGAAGGACTGAATGTAGATACCTACACCTGAACCAGCTGGTAAGGTATTTTTAAAGCATTTTTCACCTAACATATTCCAGATAGATTGTTTAGGATGAGATAACCAGTGTTTTGAAAATAAACATCTCTCCCACTGAATGCACAGGGGAGAGAGATTATATCAGATTGTGTGGTTTTATTACCTCAATAGGGCTGTGACTATGGCATCCAGTCAGTCATATAAAGAAATACTAAACCAGAAAGTGTGCAGGTTAGCTTAAAGGCAACATTTCCAGCAAGCCAACAGCACATATTGATGTTGCTGAACATGCATTTATGTGAGTGCACAGAGTAATGCCATCTTCAGACAGTGCCATCTTTTGATGGAGATCCCCTTTCAAAAAACAACCCCCTAACTTCAGTCAGCACTTGACCTTTTGAAAATATAAAACTTCATATTCAGTCTAATTCAAATGTAATGTAGACTTAAAAGCAAAATGCATATTGTTTTTAGATTCAGAAGTCTAACATACTGTTAACACAGAGAAATACAAACCTCCTCTTTGCCTTTTCTAGAAGGATAG